TTTTGTCTCTGATGATGGATTCGAGCAGCAATCCGAAACGTCAGGCTAATAAAGCTCTTGTCCCGGCGATCGTGTCTTCTTCCTCTTCTTTTTCAAAAGGGAAAGTGTCAAATCTGTGCAACCCACGAGATATCCCACAGTGCGGGCAACTTTTTGTCTGAATTGTTCTTCGTAGTCCGATCAATCACCTAGAGGGGCTACCAATGTTCAGAGGGTTATTCGCAATGTTCAGACAATTTTGAAATGGCATGCAGAGGTGACTCGGAGACGAAAGATTAACTTTATATGCCACAGTACCGCAAATGGCATGAAGAGTGGTTGCGAGCCAGTCGCCACGATTTCGTAACATCGTATTTTCTACAGTGCTGATGGAAGTGGTTCAGAATGGGTGATCTGAAAGCAGTATTTACATGGGAATCTACTCGATATCTGGCCTATGTAATCCGTAGCAAATATCTGCAATACTTTGATGTACAAACGCCTCGTTGACAGCTGCACATCGAGGACGAGCACTCGGCGGGGCTTGGACTTCTTCAACTCCAGTTACTCGAACTTGGTAACGAACTTCGGCATAACAAAACCAGCGGGTACCCACCAATCGGCACCACCTACGTAATACATTGAACTATGATAAGTTTTAATGACCGACACGCTCGCGGCTGACCAAGCCTCTTGAATGCGAGGTCTCAGCTTCCGAAATCTCTAATTGGGGAGCGGACTGCGGGCGAAATTTCTATACACAGTCAGGCCGTCGACCGATTGCGAGTGCCCGTTTGGATTTCTCCCGACCACTTGTTTGTGTCTAGTTAATCTGTCGAAGCCAAGTGGGGAGTTTCAGCCACTTCCATCCAAGGTGCCTTCAAGGAGGAGTAAACGTGCAGCTACAGGAAGGGGTCCTTAGCTTGTGGGCCCCAGGGTCGACTCACAGGTGGGGCCTCTTTGAGGTGCGGGACCTGATCCACCTATGATTCAGCGGTCATGTCGTGTGGATATCTGACGGACGTTTGTTCGAACGACTGTTTGAAGTTCGGGTTTCCACAAATACTCGCCAAAATGCGGTTAAGCAGAGCCAAGTTTATTTTTCGAAGACCTCACTCAATAATACCATCAGGAATTACCTGTCATGAGGAAGTATCGAACGGGTTTTAGATGCGTGAAATTTGAATCCCGCTGACCAGGTAAGAGGTATATGAACTTCTTCTCCCGCCGGCTGCGTGCATAGCGTCACCAGAAAGGGAACGAAGAATATGTATGGACTTTGCGGTAACTCCATTTCTAAAGGCCACCACCCGCATTGTTGGCGGAGTATTCAGGATAAGCGGTCATTGTCTGATTATTGTAAATTCATCGGAAACCTCTGGAAATGGAATGGCGAAAGACTCGTTTTTAAGTTGCAGTGTTTGGCATGGAATTATGGTGTTTTCTCACCAAATGTGATCTTCAAAAGTTAGAAAACCGCATAATCTAGCTAGACTTGGAAAACCTGCCCACCAAAACTACCATTCCATGGAGATCTTAATGCATCTTCTTCTGACAAAACGGACACAGTGTGCACTATAGGCAGGTCTGGAAGTCTTCACTCAGATGCACTTGAATCAGTCGGGCAACTCAGGGAAGCCCTCAGAGGATCGGCAGTTCTAGTAAGCTTCCAAAAGTCATTGAACTGCAAGAAAAGAACTAGGGGATTCAACGCCGTCTGTCTTCACCCCCCGCGCACATTCAGAGTCCGGACACTTTCGTCCCCACCGTAACGCGGGAATATGTCGGCGAAAACTGCCAACACTGACCAACTCTCCCCCGACCTTGTGAGTGAACGCTCTAGGGTGTTGATCTGTCTCCAACACAGCTGACGCCAGACCTCGGTCTCATGCCGCCAACACAGCACACAGAAGCCCAGTATGCCCCCAGGAGCTATTTTTAATCTTACTGCTGCTGTCGCTGCCGTTGCTTCCTGCTCCTACCTCCCTCCCCCCCACAGCGGACCGTGCAGTAGGTGTGCTGTACCAAGACTGGCTCCTGATACGCGTCAAACAGTTTGTGCAGATTCACCACGAGCCCACAAATAATGTCGTGCGTGGGGAGTGTAGTGCCACGCTAAACATGCAGGCCTTCACGTCGCCTCAGCCACGGCGCCCATCACCATCAGGCTCAACCAATCGACTACCGTATAGGGGCGGTAGTGAAGCCAACACCGGGAATCCATCCTCATGTCTCATCAGCCCATTCCTTACTATAACGACTTTGACGTGTTCGAATCGGTGGCGATGAGCCAAGAGTCGTGGCCAAGAAGGATGCCAGCGGACTGGGTAACGGAGGTGTGTTCAGGACTGAGAGTTAGGCTGCGGCGGAGCCTTCTGAATGTGATCTCGATGAAAACTCACGCATGTGAGACCAAACCGTCCTTAAAGAAACCTGGTAACTTTTGTGGAAGCCGGAATCGTGCGTGGCACGCGTATAAGAACTGTTTGGCGTTGTTAGCCACTGCACCCGAGTCCGCCTTCTGTCGTCCCGACATTGTCTTGCCCGCGAGAGTGCACGAGAGAGTGCCATTTGCCGGTACTGCGTCCAGTCTGTGAGGCACGCAGTGGATGCTGCGGCTTCGGCCGTGCCAGCCTGATCAAGTATTTGTTGTTGGCCAGGGGGGGTATGATGGCAAGCCTAGAGGCGGGTCCGGCCGTGCCAGGCACCTGGGCCCTCCCCCCCCCCACCGGTCTCCTTAACTCTGTCTTGACACCGGGTCCAGATGGGGAGTGGGGAGGAGAGAGTGAGGTAGATGCTGCGCAAGCCCACTGTCGCTATAAACTAAATCGCGCGTAAGTCACTGTGTCCGCTGCATCTTGCTGTGGAGCACACGGTGGAAATCGTCGGCAACGACGGTCGAACTATCGGATGCTGCGCAAATCTACCTCATCAGGACCTGATTCACACACAAGCCATCGTGGAGCTCATATCGTCTTTCGCGAAGATCGATCTGTCATGCTTCAGAAGTCTGAGCTGACACTTTCGAGTCCAGTCGAATAGACCAGCGTGAGCAAAGAGAAAAAGAGAACCAAGCTGAATCAGCAAATCATGAAAAACGGAGGTAGGCGTCGGTAACGTCCGGCGTATTTCCATGTGTCTGCACTCATTAAAGTTTAGGACTTATCTTCATGAACGTCCCACCGTAACAACGTAATATCAGCGTGAAAATACGCAGGGGGACACTACCAACAAGGCCCAAGATCTCCAGACACTGTGAGATAAATTCTCCGGTCCCTGGGACCTGGCAGACCCGGTTGCCGGCCGTGCGCTGGGACCCGTGCCTCCCCTTCATTGTTGTTGCTGGTCAAAATCCTGGTCATTTGCTGAGTGGACCAGGCGGTGGGGACTTGAACACTGAGGTGCGGGCTCGACCGTGCCATCCATCTACGTCCTCCCCTGCCCCCGGTCTTCTTGACCCTCTCTTGATACAGGGCCCAGGTGGGGGAGGAGCGAGTGCGGTAGATGCTGTGCAAGTCTACTATCACTATAAACTAATTCACGCACAGGTCACCGTCTCTGCCTCACCTTGTTGTGTAGCACAAGGTAGACATCGTCGGCAACGACGACCAAACTGTCGCCGGGTTCCGGTTTCTCATCTATGTGCTGTCAATCTAGATAACGCTAGCTCTCAGCACTATGCAGTCAGCGCATCTCCCTGCAGTTCAGTATACTCCCAGAGTTAATTTTCATGTAATCGGTGTTTCCATTTCTTCTATTATTATTGTTGATAATGTTAGGGGGCGCTCACCGATCGTTCATACGGAACTCACTCGTTCCGTTGTGCCTTAAGGGTTCTCTATCGAGCCCAACCAGCAGCCGACCAGCGGCGCATGATATATAGGCAGAATGATATTACCGACAAAGACAAGGGAGACTGGAATGGCCATTTCTGGCTTATTAGCCGTCGTCAGGCAGCCATAATACTACTACTACTACCACTACTACTACTACTAGCGACAGTCCGACTGTCGAGTTTGACGATGTCCACCCCATGCCCCACAGCAAGGACGGTGACATGCGTGTGAACTAGTTTATAATGATGGTAGACATAAACACTATCAATCGCATTCTCTTCTCCTCCTTCACCTTGGCCAGATGTCATGACAGACCGGAGGTGGCTGGCACGGCGTGCCATAAATGTGCCATAAAGGACACATTAAGAAGGATCCATTGCAGCCTGACTCTCGGTCCAGCAGTCGCCTACTCCACACAAACATGGTTCTCCTGGCGGCAACACTCCAGTAACCGCCTCTACCAGAGGGTTAAACCAGGCGTGGGTACCCGTTTGTGCGTCTCCGCACATTGTAACTCGACTCCACTCCCACCGTCGCTGGCCGGACGGATCACCGCATCGCTACCTCCAAGATTAAGCCTCGTCTGCAACACCGTAGTAGGCCACAAGGTAGGTTCTCCCCCAGGTAAACCGAATATTGCTCCGATGTGTTTGCTATTTGTTTGTTCTTGCTTTCTTGCCATTGTCTGATGGTCCGTTTTTGTTCTTGTTGTAAGCCAAATACCAATCTGTTGAACACCGTTCTGTTGGATTCGTCTGCTCACCGCTTATATTTCAACAATTAGTTAGCTTAGAAAGGGATGGAATCTCTGCTGCTCGTCTTTCTACCTTTCCCCCACCTCTCTCTCCACACTCAAAAGTCCTACGGCAAGAGCGACAGAGATCACGTGGGCGGCCCTGGCTAACTTGGGTCTTTCTCCCACTAAATAAAGTCTTTGCCAATAGTGGAGTTCGGCAGGCATTCGGGAACGACTATACAGCCCTATTCCGTGACAGCATTGCTTACGCCGCGAAGGCGTGGGGGCTAGAAAAGGTGTCCCGAACAAATGCTGCGATCACGTCGTCCGCGCGCTGGCTGTGGCTCGTAGATGCAAAACACATGGTCGAAACAACCAAACACGACGTCTGCAGGCTGACCGTGGTCGTAGACGTTAAACGCACTGTCGAAACAACCAAAATCGAAAGAATGCACTCTCTCTTCTTCCTCCTCCTCCTCCTCCTCCTCCTCCTTCTCCTCCTCCTCCTATCCCCGCCGTCCAACTCACCGGACTGGCAGGGTGAGTCCGCTCACTCTGGCAGCCTGGAATGTTCGTTCCCTTTTAGACAATCCGAGGAGCAACCGACCAGAATGGAGGACGGCGCTAGTGGCTCGAGGACTGGCGCACTACAAGGTGGACGTCGCTGCACTCAGCGAGACCCGGTTCTCCGAACAAGGCCATCTAGAGGAGGTGGGTGCCGGCTGCACCTTCTTCTGGAGCGGTCGCCCAAGGCAGAGCGACGCGACGCAGGCGCCGCCTTTGACATCTGGAACGACATCGTGGGACGCCTGCCTTGTCTACCGCAGGGCATCAACGATCGCCTGATGAGTCTCAGTCTGCCTCTTTGGGGAGGCGAAGGTGTCATCATTGTCTGCGTCTACCCTCCCCCTATGACCAGCCCTGACGCTGCAAAGAACAAATCTAACGAAGGCCTGCATGCCCTCCTGGCGAATGTGCTGAAGACGTATGAGTTGCTTGTCCTTAGTGACTTCAACGACGTCGTCGTCACAGACAATGCCGCCTGGAAAGGAGTGCTGGGTCCCCATGGTCTCGACGGCCCCAATGACAATGGACTACTCTTCTAACGAACCTGCACAGAACACCCTCTCACTCTGACCAACACCTTCCGCCTTCCGCCACGAGAGGAGGCCACCTGGAGGCATCCTCGGTCGCGTCAGTCGCACCTGCTGGACTATGTCCTCGCCCGGAGGCGAGATCAGCGGGACGTACTAGTGACATTGGCAACTGCGGGCGCTGACGAGTGGACCGACCATCGCCTCGTCATCTACAAGATGCGGATTAGCCTACAGCCTCGCAGGAGACCTCGAGTTAAGCGACCTCCAGGTAAGTTGAATATTGACTTGTTGTCGTTGCCTGCTCACCATCTCCACTTCTGCTCAGCGGCTAGCCAACTTTCCAGTCGCCGCCGCTGCCGCGGCCGCCGATGAGAACGCCTCCAAAGAGAACCGCTGGAGGCGGAGCGACACGATCCAGTCAACCACCCTGGCTGTCCTCGGTCGCGCACGTCACCAATATCAGGACTGGTTCGACGACAATGACATCGCCATCAGCAACCTGTTCGCTGAAAAGATCCGCTTGCGCTCGCCTGCAACAGCGGTTGCGAGAGCTGCAGGACGCCTGGACGACTCGCAAAGCCGAGGCGATCCAAGGATACGCGGACCGCAAAGAATGAATGAACTTCTTCGCCGCGACCAAGGCTGTTTACGGCCCCACAGGCAAATGCACCGCTCCTCTCACCAGCGTCGAGTGAAGTATCATAGTCACCAAGACAACGCAAATTCTGCAGTGATGGGTCGAACACTTCAGAGGCTCCTCAACCGTCCATCTTCCATCTCCGACGCCGCCATCGCCCATCTTCCTCAAGTGAAGACCAACGCCGACCTCGAACCCGCGCCCTCTTTCTCCAGGAAACCATCAGGACTGCGCAACAGCTTCCCAGCAGGAAAGCACCCAGATCGGACTCGATCCCTGTTGAGATCATCAACCACGGTGGCCCCCAATTTATGGGACATCTGACGGCGCTGTTCTAGGAGATGTGGTGTTAAAGAGTCGTCCATCACTACAAGCTCAAAGGGTACCGCCAAATCTGCGACAACAACCGAGGTATCTCGTTGCTGAATATCGCCGGAAAGACCTTCGCCCTCATCTTTCTCAACCGTCTGAACAACCATCTGGAACGGGGATTCCTACCGTCGTCATCGGGGGACCACGGATATGATCTTCGCCGCCCGTCAACTTCAAGAGAAGTGCCAAGAGATGCGGACCCACCTATACTCTACCTTCGTGAGTCTGACGAAAGTCTGCAACACGGTGAATCGCGAAGGACTGTGGAAATCATGCAGAAATCCGGCTGACCCGAGCGATTCACACAGATGGTGCGCCAGCTCCACGATGACATGATGACGCGAGTTACGGGCAACGCAGCTGTCTCAGAGGCATTCACAGTGACCAAAGCAGCGAAGTAGGGCTGCGTCCTGGCGCCTACCCTCTCCAGTCTCATGCTCTCTTCTATGCTGGCGGACGCCCACTGTAACGAACGCCCTGGGGTCTGCCTCGCCTACAGGACGGACAGTCACCTCCTCAATCAGAGGAGGATGCCCTTCCAGTCGCGTTTCTCAGCAACTTCCGTCAATGAACTCCTCTCAACGCCACCTCGGGAGGGGACATACAAAGGAGCATGGGCCTCTCCGCCGCCGCCGCCGCCTGCGACAACTTCGGTCTGATCATCAACACAGAGAAAACGGTGATCATGCACAAACCGCCACGCAACGCTGTCCACAATTCACCTCAAATCAACGTTAACAGCGTCCAACTGTAAGCCCTGGACACTTTCACTTACCTGGGCAGCACCCTCTCTTGCAACGCCAAAATGGGCGATGAAGTGGCCTGCCGGATTTCCGGAGTCAGCGAAACAGTTTGAAATCAACACGCTCTCCACATCAACACCAAACTGAAGGCGTACAGAGTGGTCATTCTGCCGATGCTGCTGCATGGAGCAGAGACTTAATTCCTTCCACCTCAGATGCTCCCGATTAATCAATATTCATCTGAGCTGAGGCGGCTGGATCGGATTCCGGACACGGATGTACTAAAACGGACGGGAATCCTCAGCATCCACGCCATGCTGAGACAACTTAAACTGCGCTGGAGCGACCATATGATGCGGATGGACAATGGGCGGCTATCCAAACGAATCTTCGGTGGAGATGTCGCCACAGGATCCCGCCGACAAGGAGGCCAGATCCGACGCTGAAAGGATACCCTGAAGACCTGCCTAAAGCGCTTACAGATCGACCCCGCCAAGTGGGAAGACCTCGTCCAGGGTCAATCGACTTAAGTGGAGGAGGACAGTGAAGATGTGCGCAGCGATCTACGAAGCCAAACGCGAAATTCATAAATCTCACGTGCCTCCGCCTCGTAACGCTAACGCTCAACCTGTCCAAGATGTAAGCGGACGTTCCGGGCACCCGTCAGTCTCATCGGACATCGTAGCAACTGCAGCACCCGGACGTCACTGTGCGATGTCACCCAGTCCACTTTTGCCTCGTCCCCCACGTCGACAATCAACTCCGGCTGCATTCCCGAACCCCCACTGCCATCCTCCTCCATCTCCTCAACATCCGCTGCGACGGCTCCTGCACCCACCACCACCGCACTCAATCCTACCATACCGGTCTGCGAATCCATCGTACAGAGACTGGCGAACCAGTACCTGTAGCACCCACATACAGTCGCAGCATCTGTCTCCACTGTCCACACTGTTCCCCCACATTTCCTCACCGCATGGGCCTTCCAGTGCACGTGCGCATTCAAAAAACCTGCGGTAGACAACCGCCGGCTACAAAACACCATCACACCCTCCCTCCCTCATCACCATCTCACCCACATCAATATCACCCACCGCAAGCACCCAACTTCCACCTCCCACGTAAGTGGGAAGTGTGCTCCCCATTACCACCACCTGCACCACACAAAAACGCCACCCATTACAAACCCTCGATTGCCATATCCCACGCGGCTTCTCTGCTGAATGTGGGATCCGACTCTGAGACTACCACGATAAGCCAGGCGCTGTGACTTGAAAGGGTGCCGACTGACGCCTCAACTCAGTCCACGCCGTCAGCGGGCGTTTGAATGAAGTGGCGGACTGGAGAGCTGAGAGCCAGACTGAAACGGCTCCTTCTGAATGTGATATCTGGCACTCTCACGTATGTGAGATGTATGCCGCCCAAGTCCCATTGTGTTTAATCCTGGTGTTTGTGTTTGGGGGGCCAGGTCGTGCACGTGGCGCGCGCAGACAAGGTCACCAGACTATGTCAGCCACCGTGCCCACTCCCCGCACCAGTCAACTGACCTACTCGGACAGGGGCTGAGGTGTGGGAATGGGAAGGGAGAGTGAGGTAGACGAGTCAGCGCATTTTCCTCCTCACTATAAACAATCTGACGCGCTTGAAGCTATCACAGTACGTTGACATCCGTGACTTGGAAGGTTGCCAACTGACGGGGATAACTTGAACCTCGTAGTCAACCCAGCGTGTGTTTGTGTGTGGAGCGGCAGGCTAGTGGTCTAAGAGTCAGGCTGCAATGGCTCCTTATGAAGTTGGCCATTATAACACACCCACTCTGTGGGAGTCGAGCCAGGTGTGACGGCACGCCTAGGTGCGGCTCCAGCCGTGCCAGCCACCTCTTTGTCGTTGGTTAAAAACCCGGTCATTTGCTGTGTGGACCAGAGGGTGCGGAGTGGGGCACCAGAGTTCGAGCTCGACCGTGCCATCCGCCTGCGCCCTCCCCCGCCCCTGGTTTTCTTGGCTCTGTCTTGACACCAGTCGAAGTTGGGGGAGGAGGGGAGAGTGCGGTAGATGCTGCACAAGTCTACTATCACTATAACGTAAGTCGCGCGCAAGTCACCGTGCGTGCTTTACCTTGTTGTGGAGCACATGACGGATATCGTCGGATGCGACGGTCGAACTGTTATGTTAGTAGTAGTAGTAGTAGTAAGTCTAGTAATTGAGGAGAGTGCTGTGGCAGTAATGATATTGGTAGTAAAACTGGTGGTAGCAGAAGCCGTAGCGGCAATAGTAGGGGCAGGACTACATATCGGCAGTGTCCTTAGTAATAGTTGTAGTCGTTTTATTAGTAGTAGCAATAGAATAGTATTATTAGTAGCGGTGGTGGTGGTGATAGTGGTAGTGGTGGCAGTGATTGTAGAGATACTAGTATTAAGAGTATTAGTAGTATTAGTGGTTTCAGTAATGTTAGTAGTAGTGGCAGCAGTATTATTAGTGGTACCGGTAGTATTAAGAGTAATAATAGCGGTAGTGGGGACAGTAGACTTAGAGACAGCAGTAGTGGTAGTTGCAGAAGCACGGGTAGTAGTATTAGCGATGGAAGTAGTAGTAGTAGTAGCAATACAATAGTAGTAGTAGTAGTAGTAGTAGTAGTAGTAGTAGTAGTAGTAGTAGTAGTAGTAGTAGTAGTAGTAGTAGTGTAGTATTAATATTGATTGTGGCGGTAGCACCGTTATTAGCAGCAAAGGTGATAGTGGCAGCATTATTATTATTAGTGGCGATGGTAGTAGTAGTAGTAGTAGCAACATTAGTAGTATTAATCGTAACGTTTGCACCATTAGCAAATATATTAGCGGTGACAATACCAGTTACAGAATGAACGGCCGTAATTGTAATAGTGGAAGCATCAGTGGTAGATTATACCGTCATTACAGTCCCCGTTTATGTTCATCCTGATGTTACACTCTATGACATATTCTGAATAGCCCTCTTATTGCAAACCAATGTTCCTACTCCATCACTGGTAGTTAGGGAGCCTCCCTAGCGAAGCGGCGGCTTTCCCCTCACCTTACCAAAAAGGGAACTGGCCAAGAGACTGCTAATTAATTCTATGCTAGGTGACGTGGATGCCACAAGCCGCGCACGCAGCCCGCCTATTACGATACACGTCAGGAGGTGAAGCAGAGAGAAACGCAGAAACGCGTTGTAACGGGTTTTTTTTTTTTGAGAAGGGTGCGGCACACAGCGAGGAGGCTACTGTGTCATGACGAGCAGTGTGCAGACAGCATGCCACGGCGCGCCGTGACAGGCAGGTACACGCAACAAACCTGCCACGGGGGGCGTGGGGGGACGGGGGCGGGTCGCTGCTTGAGCACGCAAAGACGCGGACCATCGCTGACTGACGCCCTGCCACCTACACACATACACGCAGGCGCTGCCCTGGAGCGCCGAACTCTTTCCGCGTCTTCGCTGCACTCATCGATCAGAGAACAGAAACTGTGGTTTGTCAAGTCCGGTAGAGGTCAACCCTTCCGTCGTCGTCATTGTGATTAAACTCGCGTCGTCCGGCAGGGCCTCTTAGCTCAAGTGGTTAGAGCGTTGGCTGTACTAAAGCCCTCCCCTCACTGCGTGGGTTCGAATCCCACCGAGGCGCCGAGTTTTTCACAGCTGGGTCAATATGAATCTTTGGAGTTAACCAATAGTACAACTGAAGCTGTGACTCAGATTCACTGTTTCGCACGGTGGACACGCTGCTTTTAATTTCTAAACGCTAGGAGGGGAATCCCAGATTGCAGGATGCGACCCTAGCTCGGTGGTCCGTTTAAACTTTCGACAAGGGTAAAAGCAACCACACTTCGTAGATGCGGCATTTAGTGTATACCGCTCTCTTCGGGATGCGCGCTAGAGAGGACAAATCTACTCAGTCGTTCGAAACCGTTGGATTGTGTGGAATTCACACAACGGAGAGCGTTCTCTGCAAGACGAGACCGAACGTTTGGTCTTAAATTCACGCCGGACGCTTAGCCCTGAAGTCGCTCCACCCAGACCTGTGGGCTGGAGGGGCAAAATGATGTTTTTGTCACGCCGAATCGCTGGGCGAGTCAGTTTTTCGCCCCAACGACCGTTTCGCAGAGACTGAAAGTTAGTCTTTCTGAATTAAAAACTGACAATGGTATTGAAGAAAGTGCCGGACAACCGACACAGTCTGTAACTGAAGCGGGACAGTCTATGCGGAAGGGGGAACTCAGATACACAGAAAACGTTTACTGTGGGACAAATGAGTTCCTCGCCTCAAATAAGCTACCTTGGCAGAGTGTTCTGTCTAGCAGATGCCACAGATTAATAATCCTGTTGCATGAAGGAACGTGCTCGTTCTGTTTGGCATCTTCACAGACTTTCGCACAAAGGTATGAAATTAAGAAAGTATATGTATTGCTAACAAAGTCGGCTGGTGTGCTGCAGTGTGTTTCAACTCTTTGGGGAAACTGGTCACAGTTTTGATTTTCAAGGAGCAGCCGTCTTAGGCAGGGGCACCTCAAGGACAGAACGTCTCACACTTAAGGTTTGGTACTCTGATGCCAACTCCATCAACAGGCATCTAGACCTTCCTTCGGCCTATAAAGTCCTACGTCACTACATACGCCGTGACGAAGACAAGACAATCACACGGAGCCTAAGAATACCGAGCAAACACGGCCTATCGACCACTTCACCCAAAAGGGAAACGCAAGCGCAACTAACCCCAATTGAGATGACGACACGTAATACAAGAGGCCACCAACACTCACAGGCGACGGCCAGTAGGCCAAGGCAGCGAAAGAAAAAAATCGATCAGCCAAAGGTCAACTAATCCGACTGTCCATTCAAAATTCTGATCGATTTTTTTCACTTGACGCTTTGACAATGGAGAGCAGCCCCAGCTCTTCGAATCGTCAGCCAGAAAAGTCCCCTGATCCGGTGAGCAATTCGTCTTCCTCAGACTTATGATTCCACTCTTGGGTCCAGTTGTTCTTCGAGTTTCTGACTGGAATATTCTACCATTTGAGCTACCGGCTCAAGTCCAGTCAGCTGTGAAGCGGAATATGCAAGGTCGAGTAGAAGTAGCGTTCCACCAGTCCCGATGGAAGCAAGGAATATAGGCGACGGTTAGTTTGCATGCGCGCCCTCCAAGACGCCAGATGGTGAAGACCAATTAGTAAATCAA